AGAAAGAGAAATAGGTTGAGCCTTTTACATTCTCTAATTATGATCCAGTTTATCAGAGATCACTGGCTGACTTAAATGGAAAGAGAAACTGATAGGTATACTGAAAAAGGGAAGGAAAGAGGGTAGTGATGACAGATTTTACCAATAGCATAGTGGGCTGAAGAATTGTTTTCTTTGTAAATGCAAGGAACAAAGACCCTGATTAGAATCCTCAGATTTAGAGTATCTGCAGGCAACATGATATATAGTAAAAGAACATTAAATACTAGAGGCTCGGTGCAGGACATTCATGCACTCGGGGGCAGGGGGGTCCCCTCAGCGTGGCCTGTGCCCTTTAGCAGTCTGGGAGCCCTCAGGGAATGTTGGCCGCAGTCAGACATCCTTAGTGCTACCATGGAGGCGGGAGAGGCTCCCACCACTGCTGCTGCACTTGCCTGGCTTGTGCCTGAACGGAGCTCTCTCTGTGGGAGCGCACTGACCACCAGGGGGCAGCTCCTGCATTGAGCATCTGCCCTCTGGTGGTCAGTGTGAGTCATAGCAACCAGTCATTCCACCATTGGGTCGATTTGCATATACCCTTTTATTATATAGGGTTGAATCCAACAACCTGGATTTGAATCTTGGCTCTATTACTTCATTCATTCATTCACTCACTCATCCATTCATTCTTACATTTATTCAACAAATATTAATTTAACAGCTACTAAGTATAGGCACCTTTCAAAAGGCTGATAAACAGCAAATAACAAATTGAAAAGTTCTTCTATCAGAGGCTTACATTCTAGTGGCGGGGTAGAAAAGGGAGAAAGATAGATAGATAGATAGATAGATATATAGATACATACATACATACATACATACATACATACTTATATACATGCATGCATATGTACATAAGTAAAATCACCTCAAGTTGTAAGTACCGTAAATAAATAAAAGAAATTAATGAGATAGTCACTGACTTGGACTGAGAGATGCAGCTGCTATTTAATAAGGTGGTCAGGCAAGGCCTCTCCAAGAAGGTGACATTGGTGCTCAGATCTGAATGACAAGAAGGAACCACTTACACAAAAGAAGTATTCCAGTCAAAGAGGAAGTTGGGTAGCTCTGTCAAATGAGATAAGAAACTTAAATTTTCTGAGCTTTAATTCCTTCAGTAATAAATGGTGATAATATTCTCTTAGAGGTTACTATAAAAATAAATAATATATGGCACAGTGCCTTGGAGATAGTAATTATTAAAATGGGATTTGCCTTCAGTATTTCTTCACAGAGACGGTACAGTTTCCTGAAAGATTTAAGGGTAACTCTAATCTACCTTTTGTACTGACTCCTTTGGGTCACACCTGAAGTTCCCATAAAGTGCTTCACAGAACCTACAATGGAATATTCTGCTATTGTACATCTTGTTAAAAACCACCACAATGTTCATGGGAGTTTTTTCTTGATATTTAGGCCTATGGATGTCCCTTTTGTAGAAAAGCAAATTTGAGAAATACATAACTTCATAAACAAGGGTTAACATATTTTGCAAGTCTTGTACAATATTTCTATTTCAGTAAACTCATTAAAAAGCTTTTACTGCAATTCAATATTTTTTATTCAGTTTTAATACTGTTCCAGTTCTATCCATGAGGGTGATTAGATTACCTGACTGGAAAATTACAAAATTAACAATAAGGTGAGTAGCTCAAATGTATACTAGATCTTCTGGAGGGAAAGCACACCATGCTGTTAATCTCATTCTCTGTGTAGAAGAAACACTATGATTTTTAAAAATGCCATTATAATATCATTTCAAATAACTTTGTTTTAATTTAAAACAAATAGGAGAGCCACCCTTAGGCCCCAGCACGCAAAGGCAAGCTGAACCTCAGTGTAGGAGCCTTCTTCCTTCCCCCAAACTGCCCCTCTCTCTGCCATTGCCAGTTAAGTCAGGGTATTAGTAACTATTAATAGTGCAGATTGCTAGCTTGTCTAAATGAAAATGTATTATTTCCTCTAACTTAAAGCAGCTTATGGTTCATAATCAATTTCATTTGGATCAACCATCCCAGTTCAATGACAATAAAACCTCTGTAAAATCTTTTTACAATTACTACTGTTTTTCTGAGATGATTTCAGTTTCTTTTCATACACAACCATATTTTCTTCTTTATTTTATACTAGAGGCCCAATGCACGAAAGTTGTACAAGAGTAGGCCTTCCTTCCCCTGGCTGCTGGCACCGGCTTCCCTCTGGCACCTGGGACCCGGGCTTCATTCGCAGCCCGGCTTCATCTGGAAGGACACCAGGTCCAATTAGCATATTATGCCTTTATTATTATAGATTTCCCTTGACTTGCTCAAAGAAATTATTTCTAAACTACAGATACAGATGTTTTAGGATCCAAAGAGAATAAAAAACTTTGAGTAGTAATGTTACATTTTTGTATCTGTACAAATGGTGTTCTTTTAGAGTGTTGAGTATCTGCACACACATACACTTCTCAGTACCTAATCAGATATATCAGCTTCCCGTTGGCAGAAAGAAAGCTATATGCTGTATATAACAATGATATCTCTATAAACTCAATGAATAGTTAACAGAAAAATTATTTATTTTCATTAATTATTGCTATGAATACCTTTGATAAAGAGAATAATTTTTAGATTTTGGATCTTTAATGAGTATTTTTTATCATCTGGATTCATTACCAGGTGTACCGGTTAATAATGCGGATTTTGTAATCAAAGAAAAACATGATAATTTCAAGAGAAACATCAAAAGTGCTTTATTCAAAGTAATGGCCTTCGCTAGCTATACATTTCCCCATCTTTCAAGTAATTTGTGGATACCATCCCAATAGAACTTTTCTTGTTTTGAGGCAAATCATTCAGAGACCCAATTTTCTACTTTTTTGTATGTTTTGAAGTGCTGCTCAGAAAGTGCGTGTGCCATCGATCAGAACAAGTGATAATCTGAAGGAGCAAGGTCTGGTGAATACAACAGGTGGGTTAATACTTCCCAGGCCAGATCTTTCAACGTCTTTAACTGGTTTTGAAGTGTGTGATGGTGCGTTATCATCAAGCAAAATTACTGTGCTGTGTCTTCTGGAACATTCTGGTTGTTTCACGATCAAAGCATGGTTCAAATTGATTATTTGTTGTCAGCAGCAATCAGTATTAATGGTTTCACCTGTTTTTAGAAGCCCATAATACACCGCTCCTTCCTGATCCCACCAAACGCAGAACATTGTCTTCTTTCCAAAGTGATTTGGCCTTGCAGTTGATGTTGATGGTTGACCTGGATCAACCCATGATTTTGTGCATTTGGGATTCTCAAAATAAATCCACTTTTCATCGCCAGTCACAATTCAATGCAGAAAAGACTTTCTTTCATGCCGTTGACGCAACATTTTATTGATGACTTTTCGGTTTTCCATTTGTCTTTCGTTCAGTTGATGTGGCACCCATTTTCCTTCCTTTAAAATCTTTCACATTGCTTGTCAACTATCAGAAATTGTTTGCTGAGCAACGTTTAATCTTTCTGCAAGTTGTTTTTAAGTTTGACATGCGTCTTCATCCAATAATGCTTGTAATTGTTGGTCTTCAAACTTTTTTTGGTTGACCTGGACATTCTTTCTTTCACATCGAAATCATCACTTTTAAAGCGTTTAAACCAGTGTTCAGAAGTATCTTGAGATGGAGCATGTTCACCATAAGCTTCCAAAAGTATTCAGCAGCAGTTTTCTTTAAAATAAAGTAATGAATTAAAACTTCCCGCAAATGTTCTTTTTATGGCACGAAATTCAACATTTTTAAGTGTAAAAATATCTATGATGTTAACACCTTCAGCAAATTTGACGTATGAAGTTTTGAAATTTGTTGTCAATACAACAAAATAGCATACATATCAAATTGCATATATATCAACATATGTGTAACTCCATCTATTAAAAAAAAATCCGCATTATTAACTGGTACACCTAGTACATTGCAAAGGACTTGGAAAGCATGCTCCATTCATCTTCATAACCTCAGTGCCTAGAAAAGAGCCTGAGAAACAGATGATGCACAAGGAATATTTTGTGAATGAATGAATGATTATGGCAACTTAGTTTACTATTGTTGCACCATGTGGGTGACACTTAAATCACTCTTTGAAAAGAGAGGCAAATGAGATAACTGGCTGACTATCCATAGCAATAAATTTCTAGAGACAAAACCACCGCCTATTATCTTTATTTACTTAGCTGCCTTGTGTCATGATGATGGGAGACGCATGATGATCCAGGTTAATCAAAAGCTCAGAAAAGCACAGCTTTCCAAAAGGGCCCACATGCTTCTGCAACACCAATAAACTGGGAGCAAACAGTGAATGGAGGCATAGCCATTTTTCTTTCCTTTGCAGCCATCACTTATCTTGTCAGTTCCCCTGCTGCTGCCGCTTTAGCTCACATGGAGGTGTATGTTTAATAAGCAATAGGTGGAGATCTTTAAAGGGAGGCTTTTCAATCACAGTGGATCTAATCATGGTAAATGGCAAACAACATTCTTATTAGGTTTCGCTAGCCAGTGAGGAATTGCCATATATGGAAAGCAAACTACACATAGATGGATGTTGTTGTTGTTTTGTATTTGCTTTGAGCCAATTTGGTGTGCATTGATTTAAAAGCTTTAGATAATTTACTCTCTGTGGAGAAAAAAAATCACATATCCTTTTTGGGTGTTTACCACTCTGTGAAAAATCTCTCATTTTCTCCTATTGTTCTCTCCTTTCATCTAAAATAACATTATGTAACTGGGAGTTGGGGAAAGTAATTATGCAAAAGATTCTATTTATTTTCACTTTAATGCTTTTAGAAGTTAAGAACAAGTATTGCCTTGGATTCAGGGAAGATGAAGTACATTCTCCTGTTTGTACAAAAATCATGTTGTTGTAGTTTTGATTTGCATTTCTCTAATAACTGGTGAAGTTGAGAATCCTTTCATGTACCTGTTGATGATTTGTATGTCTCCTTGGGAGAAGTGTCTGTTCAGGTCCTTTGCCTGTTTTTTAATTGGTTGGTTGGTTGGTTTGTTTGGTGTTGAGTTGTATGTATTATGAATATATTTTGGATATCAACCCCTTGTTGCAACTGTTGTTGGCAAATATCTTCTCCGAAATAGTTTGCTACCTCTTTTTTTGTTAGCAGTTTCTTTTGCTGTGCAAAAGCTTTTTAGTTTGATATGTTCCCATTCATTTATTTTTGCTTTTACTTTCCTTTGTTTTGGAGTCAAATTCATGAATTCTTCCCTAAGACCAAGGTTTATAAGTTTATTGCATATGTTTTCCTCCATGTAATGTATTGTTTCAAGTCTTACATTTAGGTCATTTATCCATTTTTAATTTCTGTATATGGGACAAACAATAATCTAGTTTCATTCTTTTGCATGTGGCTTTTCAGTTTTCTAAGCACCATTTATTGAAGAGGCTTTCTTTTCTCCATTGTATCTTAAGTATTCAAATGGATATCTTGGGTTTAAATGTTGACTTAGAAAATTTTGAGATGGTTTGTTATCGTATACTAGTATTTTGGAAATGTAAAAACCAACAACAATAACATAAACTGGGCCTAAATCTATAACATAGCATAAGAATTGCATAAAGCATCATATGAAGTTAAACATGAAAGATTTCTATTAACTTCAGTTCTTCTTCACAAGGAATTAAATCATTGATTTGTAATGTAGTATCATTGTCCTTACTTCTATTTTTGTCCATTGTTACTTCTATTTGTATACACTACTGGTTAGTCTTTGTTCAGTATATTTTGTTGTTGTTGTTGTTATATGTTTGATTTATTTATATTTTCTTACCTCTTACAGATAATGTTCAATCTCTCTATTTTTAAAATATATTTTCAGATTTCAGAGAGAAAGGGAGAGGGAGAGAGAAACATCAATGATAAGAGAGAATCATTGATTGGCTGCCTCCTGCACACCCCACACTGGGAATCAAACTGTGACCTCCTAGTTCATAGATTGATGCTCAACCACTAAGCATGCATTCTGGGCCAATTTCTCAATTTATAAATGTTCAAAGTTTAAATTTTAAGTTGTAGGTCTTGATTAGCCAAATTACACAATATTCAATTTATACGAGGGCCACAATGGGTTCTTAAACTGGACCGGAGGCCGGAACAAAAGCATGGATGGAGTGTTTGTGTGAACTAATATAAATTCAAAGTAAACATCATTACATAAAAGGGTACGGTCTTTTTTTTTTTTTTAGTTTTATTCATTTCAAATGGGCTGGATCCGGCCCGCGGGCCGTAGTTTGCCCACGGCTGCCATAGTCCATTCATTGAAAAAATAGATGAATATATCTGTGTGATACTTACATTTGTGTGATATACTCGAGTTATAGAATAGTGAATAAAAGCAAAGAGCTTAGTGCCAAAAGACATCTACATCTTAGCCAAACTCAGATATGTACCTGCCTCATGACTTGGGCAGATTACTTAACTACTCATTTTTAAAAGACCTATTTAATAGATATACTAAGAATATCTCCTTTTGGGTCGTTGTGGGAATTAAATGAGATAATGTATGGAAATTTCTTACTACAATTCTGGGAAAATAATAACTTCTCTATAAATATGAACTAATATTAATATTAAAACAATTTTTAAAAGCCAATTTATGGCTCTAACACAAGGAAGCTATAGTTGAAGTGAGAAAAATACCTGATGGATTTTTTTATTGTGGGAGGGAGAAGGAGGGTATTTCCAAAATGATTTTGAGTTGTAATTACTTTTTTTTTTACATTGCATAGAACTACATATTCATTTGATACTTTTTATATTACAGTGGTAAAAACTTTATTACCACAGAGCTTTACTCTTTGACCATATAAGCCCCAAGTTATAGGGATTCTTACTCCAGTATCAGAGAACTTTAAGATAATTTTTTCATTCCAACGATGTTTGCCTCAGGTGTTAAATTTGTGAATATTTTATAAAGTATTTTCTTTACAATCTCAATATCATATTTTCTATAGTTTCTTGGCTAAACAGAAACAACTGATTAAAAGGATTAAGCCAGGAAAAAATGGGGTTACAAAGACTTTTTTATTGTGACATGATTTTTCATGACATATTTATAATTATGTATTATCCAACCCAAAATTGAAATTATTGAATTAGATCTTTCTTTATATTAAAAATAATAATGAAAATTTCATAGTAAGAGAGTGGCAGCTAATTTGTACACACAATTACTGAAAAAAGTAGTAGTTTGAAATCTTTATGTTCTTTGGGGATTATTTTCAATCATTTTTATTTTGATAATGAGAGCTTGAGAGGTTTGCAAAAGAAAATTTTCTATAGTCATTATTTTTTCATTAACCACTTAATTTCTCTTTGCCATTCCAATACCTATTACTGAGAACATGAATGAAATCTGTCATTTAAATAAACCAGGTGCAGATGGATTTCAATTCTCCTCCTATTATACATTACAGTAGGCAAGTAGTTAAGCATTTTTACAAAAAGAAACATGAAAAATTGTAAATATTGTTTGCAAACTGTAATGAGCTTGCAATGAAATCTCCAGCAACACACAACATTCCAATTATCTCTAAAATTGTGCTAGAGTGTTATTATCATTGAAAGTGATATTCAAAAATCACATACAGCCTTCTCTGTGATTTCACACGTGAATGTAAATAGGATGGTGTCTACATATGAAAATGTACTTTCCTGAGACTGTACTAAGAGGCCAGTTACTGGACCATGGCCAGCAGATCTCTTAGAACTGCATTACATCTGTTCTTACTAATTAATCCACCTAGCAACGTTCACAGTCGTTGGGAAGATTGGCAACAAGGCATGTGATTGCTGTTTATTATCAAGTTTATAACACATGAAAAAACAAACAGTCTAAAATAAGTGTCAGATTCTTAGTAATAATTTTCAAAAATTACTTAAAATGTTCATATACATATCAGAAATTATGGCATTGGTAGAGTTGTGATTTTAGATGCCCAATTCTTCTCCTTAATATCATCAAACATTCATTCTTTCATGTAAGACTGATATCTGAGGTATTGCTTTATTTTGACTCTTTTTAATAAGATACAAATTATTTTAACATAAAATTTAATACTTTATACTTACCCTGTAGGCACTAGAAATTCAAAGATGAAAGTAATTATTCTTTGACTCTCAGAGAAGGAAATTTAAATATATTTCAATCAATTTAATAAATGTTTATTAAGCATCTACAATGTGACAGAATCTATTCTAGGTAATGAGGATTTCAAAGGGACAAATATTGATAAAAATATGTGAGAGTGGACAAAGAACAAAATGCGTAAATAATTCAGATAAGTTCTATGAAGGAATTTTTATCAAGGAAGGTGGAATGGTGAAACTTGTAAATACAATGATCACGGAAAAGATTTTCCCTAAAGTGACATTTAACCAAAGATTTAAAAGATGTACAGGAAGACATTCTGCAGATATCTGAAGGAAGAGTCCAGACATGTGGAACTGCAAATTATAGTCCTTAAGGCAGGGGAAGTCCAGAAAGCAAGGGGCTGGCTAGTGGGTCTAGAGCAGAGTAATATATGATATTGAAAAAGTAGTAAGATGAGGAGGGAAAGGCCATTGTTATCATTGGAATGACTTTACCTTTTTCTCTGGGTGTGATGGTCTTCTGGAGCTACCATAATGAACTATCACAGATTAGATCACTTAAACAACAGACATTTGGTTTTGTCATAGTTCTGCAGGCTGGAGATCCAAGATCAAACTATCATCAGGGTTGGTTTCTGGTGAGGCCTCTCTTCCTGACTTGCAGACAGCCTTCTTCTTGCTATGTCTTCACATGGCCTTTCCTCTGTGCAAAAAATGCAGTGGTTAGATGGGTTAATCACTCTCATTTCAAAAGGAAGACATCAGATCAAAGAAAAGGGTAATAGATCCCAAACAAATCCAAAACCTAGCAATACAAATTCTACTAGATCTTAATTTTTAAGAATGATCCTCTCTGGCTGGATGCTCTGCCCTCTGGGCCCACTGGGGTTGCAGTGTCTCCTCCATAGCCCCAGGCTTCTGCTCCATTTCCTTGGCTCTTTGAGAAGGCCCTGCACCATGGTTGTTTGCAAGGTTATCCTGGGACACTAAAACCCAGGATGTGGCCTCACCCTCTGAAATGGGTGGAAGCAGCCTTGTCCTCTGGGACTGGATGCTCTGGGCCTGTGGTGGGAGTGGCAGCCCTGGTAAACTCTGAAGCCACAGGTTCCCTTTTCTTGAAAGGTAAGGCAGATTGGTAGCTGAATAGCTCTATTGCTTCATCCTGGCTTCTGCTGAGATGGCTGATTAAATGCATAGGAAATGGATTTAGGGAGTGATGATCCAGTCCCATCCCTGGTTTTCTTTCCAGAACACACTTTCTCATTTTGACAATAGAGATAGGCTGAGAATTTTTCAAATCTTTAAGTTCTAGTATCTTTTTGCCTAACAATTCCTTCTGCATTTCATCTCTCTCCTCTTGTATTTTACTATAAGTCATAAGGAGAACCTAGCTGCACCTTCAACTCTTTGCTTAGAAACCTTCTTTGCTAAGTACCCAACTTCATAGCTTGCAAGTTCTACCTTTCACAAAACAATAGGTCACAATTCAGCCACGCTCTTGGCCACTTTATAACAAGGATAGCCTTTTCTCCAGTTTCCAATAGCATATTCTTCATTCTTATCTGACAGCTCATCAGAAGCACTCTTAATGCTCATATTTCTAAGAACATCCATTCATAATGATAAATGTACTCTAGAAGATAATAGAAGCTTTCTGTATAGCTCTTTTCTTTCTGAGCTCTCACAGGACTTGCCTTTAGCATCCACATTGTGATCAACAACACAATGCGGTACACAAGGGATGGAAAACTAGTGGAATGCTTTGAGCAGAATAGCAATGCGTCTGCTTTATTTTAGAAAAGTTACTCTGGCTTCTCTGTTGAGAATTGATAATAGAGGACAAGAATGGTAACAGAAAGAGCAGTTAGGAGTTTCTGAAGACAAAGTGAAAAAGTTCTGCTGACATTGGATGTGAAGTGTGAGAAAAAGGGAGAATCTAAGTATGACTTCAAGGATTTTGGTTTGAGCACATTGGAAGCACCAATCATCATTAATTATGATTTAAGGCTGATAGCATAGAACATTTGAGTGGGAATAATAAGAATTCTTGTTAGACTCATTAAGGTTGAGGTACTAGTATATGTCAGAACTCAAGTAGAGATATTGAGCAGGCAGTCCTATACAGGGTGTCCCCCCAAAATGTATACACACTTTTACAGCTGATTCTATCACATTTTAAAAATGAAATGTATTTTAATAAGTACTACCTTTATAAATATTAAAAGTGTGTATATATTTTTTGATCTATAATTTAGCAAAAAACTCTATGTCTATAATTCAGGGAAGATCTGTCATCCAGTGGTGTTTAAAACCATGCAATTTGATAGAATCACTAAAGGAATAATGTAGACAGAGAACAGGCCCAAAAATTCATTCCTCAGATTCTCTAACATCAGGAGGCCAGTGAGATAGGAAGGACCATCAGAGCTGACTGGGAAGTGAGGCCACTGAAGAAAAAAAAAAAGGAGAGTGTGATAACCTGGAAGTAAAATGGAGAAAGTGTTTAAAGGAGAAAAAATAAATAAAAGAAAATGGGGACTGAGAACTGGCCACAGGATGAAACAACATGAATCACTGTGGAGTAATAAGAGAGAAGGCAATATAGAGTTGTAGTGGTGCTGGAAGTTTAATTAAAATAAAATCAAGAGAGAAGTATATTGAGACAATTGGGAATGTAAGTATAGACTCTATTTTGAGGGATTTTACTCTAAAAGTGATGTGATATTTGAAGGGGAAAGAGTGATCAAGAGGTTTTGTGTTGCTTTATTCTGTTTCTGTTTTTTTGTGGGGTTTTTTTTTTAAGATTCCAGAAATTAGAGCACATGTTATATGAATTACCCAATAAATGTGAAATATTGGATGATGTAGGAGACAGCAGAATAATTGATATAATGAATCTCTTGAGCCATTGAAAGGAATGGGTTCCATGCCCAGTGGAGGGCTAGGCATGTACAGGAACAGAGGAACATGTCTGCTAAAAAGGAAGAAGGCAGTGCATAAGTTCATAAGCGCATAGAGAATTTCCATGTGGAGAGAAAACAAATGATTTTGAAAGTGGAATATGAGGATATGAATGGTGTGCCATGGGAATAAGGAACAGGCATAAAGAGAAGAGCAAACTAGGAGTTTTGAATCCCTACAATATTATCAGACATCCTCCCAATGTTGGAGAACACAAATCAATATAAGATCTTCCTCTCTACCCTCAAGAGGCCCACAGTGTGGTAAGGCAGACAAGTGAAGATATATATTTAATTATGCAGAGTAATAAATATCTTAATATAGTAGATTCAGCTGCTATATGCAACATATATAGTACATCAAGTCATGAAGGCATTCATGGGCAAGCTCACAAAATAGAAGGTCAAAAAGGATTATAGTGGCAGGTTGCCAATACTCTTCCCTAACGCTTTTAAGTTTTCTATATATAATGTGCTTCTCTTCTCTTCATAGTTTGTTTTATAAATCTCTAATATTTATTTATTTTTATGCTATATAGCCTTAGAGACAAGATCAGGTGTGAGTTGAAACACTTCACTTTGAATCCTAGGTTCCTAGTTAACAGGTAGGTGATCTAAGAAAGTCAATGATCTTGCCTCAGTGTCCCCATCATTATCATGGAAGTAGTGGTGTCTCTCATAAATACCTGATGGATGGAATCTTTAATAATGTGGAATCTTTAATAATCTTTAATACTGTGAAGGTGGAATCAGTCGCTCTGCTGTTAGGGTCAATTTGCATATTACCCTTTTATTATATAGGATTTCTACCCAGTGTCTTAGCTTTGTCACCTTTCCTTTTTATAATATTTTTCTTACTCGTTAGTAGGAGTTATTTTTATATTTACCGTTTGCATATTTAAAAAATATATTTTTATTGATTTCATAGAGGAAGGGAGAAGGAAAGAGAGATAGAAACACCAATGATGAGAGAGACTCATTGATCAACTGCTTTCTGCATGCCCCACACTGGAATAGAGCCTGCAACCTAGGCACATGCCCTGACTGGGAATTGAACCATGACCTCCTGGTTCATAGGTCAACACTCAACCACTGAGCCATGTTGGCCAGGCTACCCTTTGCATCTTTTATTTCTCATTTAAGATGATTCCTCCCCATGAAGTTTCTATTTCAGACTATTTTTTATCTTTTCAATTGCGTTTTATCTTTGGGCTAACTGTGGACACTCCCTTCTTCACTAAGTCTGATTCTACCCTCTAAATGGGCTGGAGTGAGTGACAATACAAAAAGCCACTCATGGGGGGAGGTAAGAGATCAACTGAAGGACTTGTATGCATGCATATAAACATAACCAATGGACGCAAGACACTGGAATGGGTGTGAGGGCATGTGCTGGGGGGTAAGAGAAGCTGGGGGAAGGTCAATTGGAAAAAAAAGGAGACATATGTACTACTATTTGTAATACTTTAAACAATAAAAAATAAAAATAAAAGCCACTCATATCTTCTGGGTTCTGGCTTCTCTGTGCTCTTGCTACCACCCAGCTGTGTTCTGTTTGCTTTATATGAAAAGAGGACACCTGGATCTGAAAGGGGACTATTGTGGCTCAGTATCCTTTAATGTCTGCCACCGATTGGCTGATGTTAAAGAAACATACTTTTTTTTAAAAAAATGACAAGAAATTATACTTAATGGGAAAAAAAATAGAGATTTTATACTTGAGCAAATTCTATAACTGGATACTATAACAATTAAAGTTAAATAAAAAAGCTCTATTTATTTTTTCTAAAAATATTCCATAAAGATGATGAATACAAATAGAAAATGTATGACATAGTTTATGGGGCAAGACCTAATCCTAGATGAGGAGTCAGCACCCACTGCACATTATTAAGAGGAAATAAAGACAAGTAAATAAGTTAGTGTCTTTTGTAAAAGTTGCTACCCCATGGTCCCTACCTTTAGGCTCCTAATTCGGTATATCAGGACCCTGTGTGAAAAGTCTTCTCTAGCACTCCAGGCTAAAGTGCTCCTCGATGCTTCCAGAACTTGATTGGTATCCCATTATTTTGTCTGGGAAATTGACTCCTTTTGTGATTCTCTTTGTACTTTCATGGCTCCTGGTTCCCTAGGAGATTAATGGGAAGTTGACATCTGCTTTTTTTTTTTTTTAAGGGAGAACACTGCCTTGTGCATGATAGGTATTTACCAACTTTCTGATGAATAAAATTAATGAAATATTTTTTTACACTGGAATCCATTTTGAAAAATTCTTTCAGCTAATTATGTGCTGTACTAAAAGCAAGCAACTCCATTTGAAAATATTATGCTAAGCAAATTAATTCAGTCAGAAAAAGCTAAGAACCATATGATTTCACTCATATGTGGGATATAAAGCTGAGATTCAGAGACACAGACAGACAAGAATATGGTGGTTACCAGAGGGAAGGAGATGGGGAGGGTGGTAGAGGGTTAAGTGGGCCAAATATATGGAGATGGAAGATGATTTAACTTTGGATGGTGGGTACACAAGGCAATATACAGATCATGTATCATAGAAATGTACACTTAAAACCTCTATGATCTTATTAACCAATGTTACCCCAATAAATTAAAAAAACAAGCAACTCAGTCACCCCAGGTTCTGCTACATCCAGATTGCTTGAATCTCTCTTTTGACTCTTAATCTCATTCCATTTTCTAGATCATTTAAACATGATAAAAAAGCTCCAACTCAGTATTGTTTTTGAATGAGTTGAAAAAACACAGTAACTTTATCATTGTCTTCAAAATAAAGGGAGGAATGTGTTTAATGGTAATGCTATACATTGGCAGAACATCTTCTCAAAAGCACCTGCAGACAAGGAGATGGGTAAATAATAAGACTCATTCTGCACTGTCTAAAGCAGGCCCAGGCTGTGCAATGGAGGAGGTAGAGCACACACAAAGAAGGCAGCCATACACTTAGAAGGAAAATCGTACTATTGTCCGTGGTGGCCAGGGTCAAGATATTGGATGGAAACTCAGGCTAACCAAATGTTTAGCAATCAGAATTTAGAACTGTATCGATGTGCAGTCAGGAAACCAAGGTTAGCATCAGCATTGCTACAAAAGCTAGATTTTTATGACCAAAAGTTGGCTTATCTGAGACCTGTGTGTGCACACAGAGAAACGCACCATTTCTCTGGGACTTACTGAGTCTTTTGAAATGATCCCCAATGGCTAGTTTGATCCAAATGATAGCTGTTCTTTCTGTCACAGTATACCATTAAATAAAGCACTGCTTCTTTCCTGAAGGATGTGAACTTTCAGTTTCCAAATAAGGTGGGGAAAGTATATCTTTTTAATGCCCCCTTGGTCTCAATCCATTGGCTTTATATTTGGTGGTACCAAACATCAAACATCATTTCCTTCCTGAAAATGAAGCCGACAAAAAGATAAATTAATGTTTTTTTTTTAATCGATGTTGTTGTATTTTTGCTTATATTCATTTTGTGTGATTGTTGGTTTTAAATAATTCAATGTTATTGTAACATCAATCATTATGTTGTGTCAAAAACATTTAATGTTTGATGTACAGACATTCTTTATTAAAACCATGTGATGATGTACTTGTGGAATTGCTGCATATCTCACTTATAATGGGTTGAGAGAAACAAGAAAAATGTAAAAGAGAATGGAAGAAGCAATGAATGAATAAGTCGTATGCATAAGCATTAAGCAAGTAATTAGAACAAAAGAAAGAGACTGAAAAATGATGAATGCTTTCAGTTCCTTTTATATGAGTTTCATTTTTTGTGAGAAACAAAAGTTAACCTGTGTGTTTTTTTAGTTTCTCTTAAAAGAATTGTTATTAATAATGACAGCTAATACTTACATAGCATTTACTTTACAAAACCGTTTCTTCTTTCAAGCATCACGTCCCTTTTCAGGTTCACAACACCGCATGAAATAAGGACCCTTTTAGTACACATTTTGTTTAAATTTCTAAGTTATTTTGAAATTTGAAAAATACAAATAACTGAAAAGATATCAACGTCATTATACCAATACACAAATTTAACCATTTGATAATATCAATTCACTTCACTTAAAAATGGAAATAATATTTGCAGCTAAACATTTACTTTCTATTTCCCTTTCTTGATTCCTTGTTCTGTCTGCTCTAAGTTACTATTTATGTGAATATAATATATGGTTGGCAATTCAGTTTGTCTGGATTAGGGTTCATGCATTGGAATACTTTATGAACATCCCAGGTTTTCCTAATGTGCATCCAATTTTGAGAACCACTACTTTTATCTAGGACACTGCTTCTCAAATTTTAATATGCATATAGTATATTACCTAGAGATCTCGTTAAATTGCAGCTTTTGATTTAGTGGATCTGGGTGCACCTGAGATGTGCATTTGTAACAAGCTCTCAGGTGATAGAGGACCACACTTTAAAGTAACAAGGCTCTGGGGTATGTAAATACTTAGAAATGAAACTGTAAAGATATATGTGCATCTTCAGTTTGATTTGCTATTTTCAAATTGTTCACATATTTATATTGTTTTCATTATCATATGACATTCCATTTTCTAACACCCTCATTACCTAAGTATTATATTATTTTTAAAGTTTTACCTTATGGAATTGAAATTGTGTTCTTTGAATTTAATTTTTTCTATTAATGAAGTTTCACTACTTAAATAGTCATCACATTTTCCTCTTTTATGAATTCCTTCATCCATTTTTAATAACACGTTCTTTTTCTTTTTTTTTTTAAAACTTATTGAAATTATTTACATATTCAGAATACTAATCTTTTTTTGTGTGTGTAAATTCATTATAAATATGTCCTATAAAGCTGCCACTTCACTTACATTTATTTATGAAGTCATATATTTATACCACATATAAATATGTCATGTATATGTTTATACATGTAAACATATATTTGGCATGTTTTACATATACATATATGTATACATATATTTACATGTACACATTTTTAAGTTTAAGATGGATACCTTTATTGATTTTTTTCATTATGGTGTGTGTTTTATGTCTTACTCCTTCCCAACTTCAATATAATAAAGTTACTTTATATTTTTTAAACATTTAAATATTTTACTTTTAATATTGAGGCTTTTAATATATGTCCAGCTTATTTATATGCATGATGTGAGGTCAGGATCCACTTTTGTATTTTTCCTAAGGTAGTTGAATTTCTTAATACCACTGATTGAATTATACATTCCTTTCCCTTAATTTGTAGCAATTAATTATCTAAACCTCTGAGTGAGTTTGTTCTGGGCATTTTATGTGTTTTGTATGAATCAGTTTCATTCTGGTATGTATTTTTCCACCAGAGTTTTATAATTTTTAAGAGTGTGAAAGAATTAATTTATCTTTCTTTTTTCTCTTAGTCAAGGTGGTTGTGGCTAATCTTTGTCCTCTACCCTTCAATATTAATACCAGGTTAACCTTGCTGAACTCTGTGATTACAAATGGAAGTTTTAATGTAATTTAAAATTCTTGGATGTATTGAGGAAAAATTAAGATATTTTTATTGTATGCTAGCTAAAGTCTCACCATTATTATCAGTTTCAATAATATGTAACTTCTCCTGAATATTCTGCAAAGACAATTGTATTATATTAGAGGCTCAGTGTACAAAATTTGTGCACTGGGGGGGTGGCGTCCCTCAGCTCTGATTGTGAGAGGGTGCAGGCCAGGTTGAGGGACCCCACCAGTGCATTATCAGAGCCGGGGAGGAATGCAGGAGGTTTGCCAACTGGGGAGGGACCATGGGAGGCTCCAGGGCGTGTCTGGCCCATCTCACTTAGTCCCAATCAGCTGGACCCCAGCAGCAAGCTAATCTATTGGTCAGAGCATCTGCCCCCTGGTGGTTAGTGCACATCATAGTGACTGGTCGACTGTCTGCCCCCTGGTGGTCAGTGTACGTCATAGTGAGCTGTTGAGTGGCCTTAGCATATCATTAGCATATTACACTTTGATTGGTTGAATGGCCAACCAGACGACTGGACACTTAGCATATTAGGCTTTTATTATATAGGAATAGAGGCCCGGTGCATGAAATTCATGCATTGGGGGTCCCTCAGCCCGCCTTGTACCCTCTACAATCCAGGACCCCTCGGGGGATGTCCGACTGCCTCTTGCAATCCGGGTCCACTGGCTCCTAACCGCTCGCCTGCCTTCCTACCTGATTGCTCCTAACCACCTCTGCCTGCCTACCTGATCTCCCCTAATTACTCCCCTGCTGGCCTGATTGCTCCTATTTTCCTCTGCATCACCCCGCACCCAGGACCCAGGATTACCTCCTCCGGCCGGTTGCAGGCATCCAAGACCCAGGCCGGCTTCACCCGGGCTGGCCACAGGTGCAGGGGACTGTGGGTGGGTGACTTTGCCCAGGCCGTAGATGCAGGCACCCGGGACTGAGGGGCAGGTGGCTTGTCCCTCTCCTGGGCTTCATGTGCAGGCGCTGGTGCCTGGGACCACTGGACAGGCGGCTTGTCCCTCTCCTGGGCCACAGGCGCAGGCACAGCCATTGGCTCCTGGGACTGGGGGATAGGCAGCTTGTCCCTCTCCTGGGCTGCAGCCTGGATGGTCCCCTTTCCTCTCTCGTGAGCTCATTTGTGCCTGGCTGGTCCCCATTCCTCTCTTGTGAGCTCATTTGTGCCTGGCTGGTCCCCATTCCTCTCTCCCCAGTATTGAGTGTCTGAGCCATTAAGGTGTGATGGCGTGATGGTGTGATGACTATTTGCATATTAGCTCTTTATTATATAGGATACTAGAGGCCTGGTGCATGGATTCATGCACTTGTGCATCCCTTGGCCTGGCTTGCGGGGATTGGGCCGAAACTGGCTCTCTGACATTCCTTGGATTGCGAGAGGACACAGTCCAGGCCTAGGGACCCCACCAGTACATGATGCACTGGGCCTCTAGTGTGCATATATAAGATCTTTGGTTAATCTCTTCCCACCCTTCCTCCTCTCCCCTTCCCTCTGAGATTCATCAGTCTATTCCTTGTTTCCATGCCTGTGGTTTCTGCTCCTGCATTGTCTGTCCCCTGGTGGTCAGTGTGCATCATAGCTACTGGTCTGCCGGTTGGCCAGTCGCTTAGGCTTTTATGTATATATAGATGATCAATAACTGTTTTAGATATTTTTTCCCAATACTTACATTTTTAACTTATTTCCTAACTTATTGAATTGCTTAGGAAGTTCAGGACAGTGTAAAATAGAAGTAGTGAAAATGGACATGGACTTTCTAACCTTGTTTCCATTTTTATGAAATATATCCAGCACTTCATAATTAAAGATAATGATAATTGTGAATTATTGGTAGATCATTTTAGTCACATTATGAAAAAAACTTTCTGTCCCTAGTTTGCAACTTTTTTGTTATAAATTTAGTGTTTTTTTCTTATGTGATGCTTTATTTAAATCTATTGACATGATCATTTCTCCTTCAATTATTTCTGTGGAGTACTAAGTTGATAAATTGTTAATATCCCCAGTCTTAGAATAAGGCATGATTTTTAATATACATTGCTGGATTCACTTGATAGATTCAGTATTATA